GGAAAGGAAGAGATGTTTTCCGCCCACTTTGTTAAATCAATGAAGGGATGCAAGACTAAAAGTATTCTCTTTTCCCTTTCCCTTACCTCCTTCATCAGCACTGAAACTACAGCTCTCACCCTGAACTCGCCTCCTGCTGCCAGCCAGGCATTGCTGCCCAGATGAAAAAGAGTGGTGGCAGGACTCTGGGTGCATCTTTTCCTTCACATTGCAGGCATCACTGAGGAGGAGTGCAAAACAGGTATTTTGGAAGGAGGGGGGGGGGGAACGACACACAGCAGAACAAAAGCCAAAAAAAATGTGAAGAATGTAAAGATGCTTAAGGAACAACTTTAAACAGAATAACAGAACATAAAGTTTAGAAAAATAAATATCAAAAATAGGAAATGGACAAATAAAAAATAAAGGAAAGACATACCAGAGTTGTTAACATTAAAATAGACACATTAGCCATCTGAATGCCAAAAGAGTCACAATCAATAACTTGCCATTTCAACCAAAACATCCTTTTCTTGACATCCTTTCAGCCGTTCCTCCTTCACCACTAGAAACAGAATATCTTGTTTTTGCTTTAAAAGTCCTTTATGCCCTCTGCCCATTCTATATCTTATCTCTTTCACCCTTGTTAATGCCAGCACCCATCTCATTCTGCCAAACTGTCTTCATTACCCATACATTAGATTTAAGAAAAGCATCTTTATTTTCAAATGCTATCACAATAAATATGATAGTATGCTCCATCCTCATGACACCCTCCCTGCCCCCTCACTCCCCACACCCTAGCATTTTCAAAGGGTTCTTAAACCCTTGCTTGCCAGAATACTAATAAAAAGAATGAAGGTGGCAAGGCAGGGTAGCACCTCAAAGAGATAAACTGGTTTAGAGGCATAAGCTTTTGTAGACATGAACTTTTTGTCAGATGGTACCTCTGTCTATAAAAATAACAGCAGCAATTAAGCAGCTGGTAGGCCTTAAAACATGGGAAAAATGCAAAGTAAAAGGAAAAGTACTGTACTAGACGCTTCAGTAACTAGAAATGGATTGTACTAGATCCTTTCCACTGATTCTGATAGTGAGATCCAGATATCTTATAATGAAAAATACAGTTAAAACTATTTGCAAGTAAATATTCTCTTTACATGTACTAAAAATGTTACGTGGAGTTTTTCCCTATGGCAGAACTTTTTGCTTCCTACTCATAATTTTAAAATTTCAATCTAGACCAGTACAGGAAAACATGTCTGAAGCTGCATTAATCATTTAGAAGAGGTTATTGTACTGATGTGCTGGTAGCAATTACCAGAGTTAGGGTTTCAAAACCCTTTCCATTATAACCAGCTTTCACATGCTTATAACATTCTGAACTATTTTGCCTTTAGGTCTAAAATTTTCCATGGTTCATCTCTGTTCAATGGAAAACTTTTTGGAAAATGTGAGTAGTTTGAATAAAAATTCTTCTGTCACTTGAATGACAGAAGACTTCACACACACACACACTTACACTTTTCCCCACTACAGTTTTTTTAACCCATACTTTTTGTAAATATTCTGACATGGTTAGAAATTGAGATCCAGCTAGGAGATGATCCTTGTTGAATACTATGGTCTTTTCTTAGTTCCATGTTTTACTCTGATGAAATTAGAAAGATAAAATCCATACCAAACATGTGCAATTTTTCCCCAGATATTTTCTCAAACCAAAAGATTTTGAGAAGAACAAAGCCCAAGCATCAGGGGCAGGCATGTGGGTTTTTGCAGAGACACCTGAAGTAACAGCATTCCTTCCCTGAACCTACAGAGAAACTCTATGGAGGAAACTTTTGCCAATGGCTACAGCAGGCTTGATATTTGCCAGAAAGAGTTGAGGAGGAAAAAAGAATCTAAACAGCAGCTGATCCCCTATCCCTTTTCCCTACCCATGGAACTAACTTATCACGTTTCTGATTTGCAGTCCATAACCACATATAGCTTTCTTCCCTCCATGTCTCTCAATGTACATAGGAATGGGTTGAATTTATTTCTGAAGAAAGAGATCAACGGCATGTGTCAACAACTACATTAAAGCAAGATTTTTCAAATAGCAGCAACTTAACTTTACCTGCAGCATCTCTCTCCATTTTCTCATTAATTGTCTCTCCGATGGATCAATGGCTACTTACAGAGATCTTTAAGAAGATGGGCAGGGAGTTGCTGGCTGCTCACCACAGGCTGGTTTCAACAATTGTTAGGAGGGGGCTTCTATAATGCTGACAAATATATGGTGATTTCTACACAAACACCACACTGCATTTTTCACCACCCTCTACCTGCTAGTCTCTCCTGCAGCTCCACCTACTTTTCTTTATTTTATGGAAGTCAAACAATGTCATGTGGAAAAATGTAGGAGCCCAAGGAATCAAGTGACTTTTTATTTGTTTTCCTCTCTCCGCAGTACTGTCAGAGTTGCATAATGGCCATCACAGCTGTCCCTCCACCAAAGCAACCTCATGCCTCCCCAGGCTGGGAGCTATCATTTACACTTGTGATGGCTCTTTTCCTTTCCTCTCTTCTAATTCCCTTGCTCTCTACCCTACCACTTCCCCTCCTAACTGTTGATATAGAATTCCACACCAACACTAGGACAATGAAAGCAGGGCAGTTTTTAACAGGATTATCTAAACAACACCTCTCTACTACTTCTCTGAACAGCAGCTTCAGCCAGCAAGAAGATATCTTATCTTTGCTCCACTATCTGACGTTAGCCTAGTGCTACATTCCCATGTTCCTGCACCCACATGTCCTCCCTAACAAAACTGCCTGCTTCACTACACCTTACTTCTGATTCTGGAAACCTTTGGGTTGTTTCTACCCCAAGTTGATAAAGACACTCTCATACTTCCAAGTTGGTGATAGCTACTTGAATGCAGATATTCATCCAAAATTGGTTTTAAAAAATAATAAATCATTTTACACTGGCCAAATTGTAAAATGCATCAAGGCATTCACACCTTTCATTCATTAGGAATCTGGGCCAAAACTGAACCAGGGACCTATCAACATAAGAACTGTTTAATTTTAAAACAAGGCAGCATTCCACAAAGCAATGAAGGTAGAGACAGACTGAAACAACTGGGACTCATGCTCAGAAGTAGTTTCGTAAAGTACCTTAAGACTATCATAACAACTTTCTTCTGCGTAGTAAATTACTTAACGCTGAATGAATGTCCTACTCCTTTAAACATGACGTAGCTTGAATAGAAGAGTTGGGGTATATATAATGGATCTTTTGAATACTGACAGTCCTAATCAGGCTGCGTAATCTTATTAATGAACTAGCAGTTTATGCTGGTTACCAAATCCCCAGACTTCAACTGAAGATTTTAAAACATCTAAAATATAAAAGTTCGGACTTCACAACAGACTCAGGAATGAACTGGCAGGAGTGTTCTGCTTTGTGGTATTCCCCACATCCTCCACCATGTTAAACAGTTGATTTTTTGATTAAGTTGCTGAGTTCTTACCATAGTATGTGGAAAAAAAAAACAGTTGTAGCATCTGTATGACATATCTGGATAAGAAATTATATTCCACACAAAAGGAGTGCAGTAGAGAACTGAACAGAAAGCAGGTGTCAGGTCAAGAAGCAGAGTGACGCTTCATGTTGAAAACTGTCTAGGGATGACAGATGTGTTATTTTGGGAGAAGCAAGAGTTATCTTGTCATTTAGACTCATTCAAATTGCCAGTCATTTGCACAAAATGGATCTGAAGTCTCAGAATACTTTACTTCTACAGATACTTACTGAGTAAATATAATTCTATGCCTTTTCATAAGGCTGATTGTGGTTTAAAATCACAACTTAATCTGAGAATAACTAACTACAGCCTTTCTTGGGGAGGCACTAACTTGATTTCTTTTATAAGAATACCATCAGCAATTAATGTGATCCTTATGGGCTCAAATCTACACTCCTTTATGCAGAAATCCACTGCTCCAAACAGCCTGTTAAATCAAGTATGGAAGTGGCTTAACAAGTTATCCTATTTTAACAGACATGGTCCCTGATAAAATGTATCCATATACATAAATCAACAACAACAGAGTGAAACAGTGACTGCCTACCTAAGTCACTAGTTACAGGAGTAAAAGTACTGTTTGTTAGAGAGAAGGGAGGATAGGAATATATAAGTAATAAATAAGAGCTTGAAGAAACAAATGGAGAAAGAGTTAGTTGCTTTTATGCTGCCTCTCACCCTCCCCCCACCACACACAATCCTAAACAGGAACTATATTAGATACAAATAAAGTAGACATGACCTTTTTTCCTCCTCTGCATGATTAATTACTTAATGTCCTATTAATTGGAAAATGTAGCTGAATTTCAAACGCTTTCATTCTCTCTGCATATCATGCTATCTGGGAAGCACCGATTAAGCTGTTCATCATAGGTGAGCAGGCAAGGTCATCTAGACTGTACTTCTTCAGTTATTCATTACCTGTCTTAAATAGCAATTAACAATGGCAATATTTCCATAAATCAAAGCCTCTCTGATTATCCCCAGATGATAAGCAGCCAGTTTCTTTCATTAATCTTTTTTTTTCCCCTTTAATATTAATCTTATAGATTTAGTCCAAATATCAAATGTCACTTCAGAGGTACAATTGCATTATGCGTCTTAACATTCAGTTACTAGAACCTGGTTAAGTTTGTGTGCATGTGATTAGGGGAAAATGAGCAACAGAATTATTGACATTTGAGGGGGTCCACTTCCATGAAGCTCTACCAGGTTCTGGATAGGTGATGTTCATTAAACTCAGTAGGAAGTTCCAATACAGTAAAACTTATGAACGGTGCAAAGATCTACCTATTTATATTTTGTTTTGGAGGGTTTTAAGAAGGCTATCTAATTTCAAGTCAACTTCAAAGGCTATTTGTAAGGAAATATCAAAACTGAAAAAAAGGAGGAAACAAAGGTCACAAACTTTCCTTGTTTAGTATGTATCATAACCCCTGTTCTCACCTTGAGGCATCTCAGGTGGCAAATAGTGAGGCTCTTGTGCACTGACATGCACCCAATCGAAGTCATCATATAAGTCTTGATGGTAATCACAGGGACCTGGACCATCATCAAAAGTGCATCCCCCTAAAAGAAAGTTAACAAGTGCTTATCATTTACAAAATCTTAATTTAATTAAAACAAACATCCTTTATAATTCAAAGCAGAGGTGTTTCTTCTAGGAGCCTCTACCACAGAGCCCATACCACCTATGACAGTTCACGAGCTTTTATGTGCAGAGCTAAAAATCTCAAGCATCTCATCTATCAATGTTATTCTCTAAAATTTTCTCTGCTGCTCACAACTAAATTCCCCCAACAGCATATTCTATTGAAGAAGGAAATCACAGATTGTGCTACTGAAGTCAAAGTGGAACCTGGCTTAAATGTCTGCATAATAAAAAGTGACATGCTATCCAGACTAAGAGGGAAAAACATTGAAAGCAATGAACAAAGCTAACACAAGTAAAGGTGCAATCAACAACTCTGATGCACTGACAGCCTACACAGTCCAAGCAGTGAATACAACTTGATAACAAAGCACACGCCTACAGGGAAAAGAAAAAGGGGAGGAAAGAGGGCTCTGACAATATAACAAGAATTACTTAGACATGAAATAATATTTCGATTACTGCAGAGTAATTTGATGCTATTGCTTTATTAAACCAATACAGCACAGTAGAGAACAAATTGAAAGCTCTTTTTCAGGGTCATATAAACAATGGATGTAAAATCTTTATCTAGTGTCCATCACCAGGGTAACAGGAGTTGTGACAGGGAAGAAAAATAAAAATGGCAGGGAAGGCCAGGGTGGTGAAATAAAAAACAACACTATGCAGTGTGATTACAAATAAATAAATAAATAAGTCATCATGTTGGGATGGTCTTGTTTAATAACTTTTCAGTTCTCTTCCTTCACTTATGAAGAGCAAGAAAAAAAAGTGGAAAGAAAGGAAGAGAGAATCAGAGGAAGATGGGAGGAAAGATGAATGGAGCCACAAGAGACAAAACACTGGGTCAAAAGAAATCAGAGAAGGAAAGAAAAATATAGTGCAAACCTTGCACTAAAAAACCCCACAAGTAACACACACTTAACTGCAGCAGCTGTTATTTTCATTCATTGTAAGCAATCCTTGGGATTTACAGGTTCACTTGAAAAATGAAAGGCAAGATCAGGAGAGATTTTTCTGATTTTTAAAAGATAAAGGCAGACTGCACACATAAGAAGTGAACTCTATTTCTGCCTCAATAGCCTATGAGCTAGTACAGCAACACAATTAACAATTCCTCCAGTTACAATCACTAATTCTTGTGGTTAATAAACAAACTAACATGCTACAGAGCCTGTATTATTCTTTGGCTGGCCATACTTCTGATCTTATCACACCGGAAGATGGAGTTTGATGCTATGGTTTAAAAACAGAGGTTCTCAATCCCCAGCCTACAAGTCGCATCTGGCTCACAGCCCTGGGTCATCCAGCCTGCAGGGCTCACCACACATCCAGAAATTTGGGGGAAATGGCACCATTCCTGTACTTTCAAATTTCCAGACCCATGGGGAGCTCTGCAGCCTGGCCCCAGGACCCAATCCCAATATCATGAGGCTGGGACGGGGTCATGCTAGGCTCCCAGGATGCAAACCCAGCATGCAGGGATGGGAGGGCATGGGGCCAAAATACTGAGCACCACTCATTTAAAATTTCCACGTAGAGGAAATTCAAGATTATCCTCAATGTGTCACTTTTATTCTAATCTACATAGCATCCTGTGCCTGATTGTTCTCCCCCTTCAAATGCCACAACCTCCCAAATAGAAATGAAGAAGATTCAATAAACTATGCTGGTTATTATCCCCTTCACAAACACAAACCTAGCCCAGGAGCAGAGCTGGAGGAAAAGTTAGGGGGTGGCCCATAACAAAAGAAATAAAGTTTAAAATTGAATATTAAACCGTTTTGGCTGAAAGCCAAAATAACTTACTAATCAGTAATGACAATTCAAAATCTTATAAAGAGCACATTTAAAAAAAATGATACTAGTTAAAAACCTAATTTTAGTGGCAATTTCTCAATCAATTCCAGCCTGTATGATTGAGCTCCTGTTCTTCCTCATCCCCAAATCCAAACATTCGCACAAAAACATGATTCAGAGCAGAAGAATCATTTCCTTTAATGTTTATTTAACACTAGTGAGGTCCAGTTTTGGACACACATTTAAAAAAGATGGGAACAAACTAGAAATAATCCAGCAGAGTGCAACAAAAATTATTAGAAACCTGGGAAGCATGATGTACGAGAAAAAGCTGAAAGATCTAGGATGATTTAGTTTGGAGAAGTGAAGAATGAGGGAAGATTTGATAAAAGTCTTTAAATATGTCACAGGCAAAATTGGGAGATGGGCTTTTTCTATGGCTGTAGGAGGACAGAACTAGAAGCAATGGCCTCAAGCTTCTGCAGAGGAAATTCAGGTTGAAAATTAGGAGGAACTTTTCAACTACGGTGGTTGTCAAGTATTGCAACAGGTTCTCAAGAGCACGCTGGAAGATATTTGACTGGGGTGGCTTAGTCAGAGATGATCCTGCCCTGAGAAAGGGACTGGGTCAGATGACCTTATGAGATTCCTTCCAGTCCTATTTTCCTACGATCCTATTTCCTACAACTCTGGGCAGATATTTGTGATTTCTACAAAACGGACACTATCCATGGAAGTTACTGACAGAAGTATGTTAAAATATAACCACTGTATGATTTCTTTTGGTTTACTTTTTTAAAAATACAGCTGCTATAAAGAATCTGAATCAATACAATTGTTAAAAAAAAAACAACTTTAAAATTTAGAGTTTAGGCTTAGGGTTATCTGTTAATGTCAAACACTGACACCAGTGCAGTACAAACATACTCATTTGTACTAGGTAATCACTCTCTGCTATGCTTTAAATAAATGTCAGCCATGTAACCATGAAGTAGAATGAAATGCATAAGAATGTGTGCATGACAATACAATACAAGCACTACAAAATCCCAGAACAACATTTATATTCTGCATAGAGTTGACTGCCATGTCAGTGTCACTGTCAAGGACAGCAAAGCACAAAAGGAGAAACAGTTTTATCAAAGAAATATTTATGCCTTTAAAAAGTTCAAACTCCAGTGTCCTATTACCACCAAAAGACCTTTCTAATTAACGTTGGCCGTGATAAAACTAAAAAGGTTAGAACATAAATCTTGTCCTTTGATTTAACTTACAATACCCTGCTATGATCATTCTACAGCAAAAACGTACATTTCCATAGACATTTAATTGATAAATGAATAGCAGTTTCCCTTAAAGCGAAGGTATCACCGTCTGCCGTCACAGTACCAAAATGACATACTGCTTTGAAACAAATGCCTTTAGGGCACCTATTACCATTTTTAATGGTTTAAGTGCCCTCAGTATATAAAATTTAAACTACAAGTGAATCTCACATCGACTTACTTGGAAGATGAATGTTCTTAATTGCTGTTCTTCGTATCCACTATTAATTTTAAGTATCAGGATTCTGATTAGTAATAACAACTAGCATGTCAATATACAACAAGCAATTCAGACCTTGTTATTTGTTGCACATCACTGCAGCCTCAGCAAAGCCAGTAAGTGCACATTTATCATATCAATGTAAAAGAAAAGTTATCAGGATGGATTATTAACCAGTTACAAATCCAGTTTACGTAAGAACTGCCTTACCAAAAGGAGAAAAAGGCACAATCTCATCTGGTATTTTGCCATTATCAGAGATCAATATGTGGTTTCAGGGTAAGTAAAAGTAAAAGTCAATGTATAAGCACCTACAATGAATGCATTAGACCCACTTATGCAATATAACGCTATGAGGTAGAGCGTAAAAAATGCCCCTATCACTGAAGCAAAATTGGATCTGCTACTATTTTATCAATCCAGCACCTGCATGCTATTTCAGTAACAAGAATGATGAAAAAACCTACTTATTTTATAACTCTGATGAAAACATAAGTAGTACTTGGGAGGTAGTGAAAGATGGGAAAGAAGCCTACAGTGGTGAGGCTCTATTCACAAATACTCAAAATAATATATCTTTTTAAATCCACCCTTTGACAACTACTAACACAAAACTAAAATCATTTTAGACCACAAGGGTTTTTTTTCCTCATAATGCTGACCCGCTAACACTGAAAGAGTCATGCAACCCACCTTCCCATGCATTTCTGATAACTCCAGACATTTACAAGGAAAAGCAAAATATATTGTTACTCAACTTATCTTAAGAATGTAAAATCAAAAAAGGACAAACATGTTCTGCCAGCTCTCTACAGACTACAGGCAATAAGGATGCCCCACACCCCCCCCCCCCAAAAAAAAAAAAAAGATCGTAAATGTCACAATATCACAAAGCTTAGTTGTGGGGACATCATTTCCCATTCATCTCCAACATCTAGGAGTCACTACATTCTTTGGTTACAATGAGGGAGCCACAATTCACTCTCAATATCAACATGAAATTAGTAAACTCAGAGGTATAACCAGGCAGCTCCACTCCCAGGGCAGCACTGGATGCTGCCGTGCAAATAGCAACCACTTCTACAGTCGCAGCAATTTTTGTACCCACCCATTCCCCACCGCAAGCTGCTACCCCAGTGATGCACACCCCCTCAGTTATGATAGTACAAAGCATAAGCTCCCCCCCCCCCTTTCTCTTTTTTTGAGGCTAAAGTAAAAGGGAGGCATCAGTTCTGATGCACCAGCTCTAGCTCCTGGCACTTTGCAGACACACAATGCTATTATTCAAAAATCATTGGGACCATACACAACTGACTGATTGACCAATATCCACCTGTCCTAAATTTCTAATAAGGTACCAGAGATCGAGAGAATGATTGTAGCAGTAAGCTGGTTCAGCTTATAAATGAAGGAAAAAATATCTAAGAACGACAATCCTAATGAAGGTCTGTGAGCATTACCACAGTATCAATATTTAATGTGCAAGATAAGCCAACACTCAGATGTGTAACTAAATCACTAAGTGAGACTGAGGAAATGATAGGATGCCTCTATCAACCTATCAAAATGGTCT